TACAATCGAAAAATTAGCAATACAACTACTAGAAGGACATATCAGCCAGCCATTCGAAACAATGGCATGTTAACGAAGTATATCTAAGGCTCTTCTAGCAGCATAAATCCATTGGAGTTGGTAGTGCAATGTTACGTATTGATGGAATAAAATAAAACAACTTTTAAAATTACCAATAACGATTGAAATAAGTTTGAAGCATTGAATGTATACATAAAAACGTCGAATAAATTATGTAGAATACAAAATTTCTACAAGAGACTATGGACTCGAGGAAAGTTGGCTGTACTCAGTTGCATGTTCCATATTATATCAAAAACAACAATTACCATGACCAAAAAAGCCGAATCCTCAACTCGTGTTTCCTGTGTATCCCCGAGTACAAAATGTAAAAAAAAAAACAGTTTTTCATCGTTGGTAGATGGTATTGCTAATTTTTTTCCGTGTAAAATTACCTCTTTTTTGGTTGTAAGACTTTGATAAGAACTTTGATCGAGTGCAGCATTATTGGAAACTCTCCTTGCTTTCATTATTATGCATCTGAAAGATGAACAGGTGAGACAAAATTATTCTCACAGGATTTTAGAACTGAAGTTAACCAACACTATTACTTGGTAATGACTACTTCACATATCTTTTGTTTTCATTCTGTCATAATAGTCCTTGTCAAAGGCCCGCCATTTTGGATCAGTTCGCAATGTATCCTGGGATACCAATCTTCCTGTCTTTGTTAAAACAAGCCGTTAAAATTGTAACAACACTGCGTAGCTTCCATGTTTCTCAAAGGATAAGTTTGTTTTCCTTTTCGCTCGATTTAACTTGTAAATTCTCGGCCGAGTGCACAATTCTTTAGATGTTGTTGCATTTACTGTCTAAGAACTGAGCCCGCGGCACAGATGACGGAAGGACTTCCATCTAACTCACTTGTTTACTCATTTATCAATCCCGAAATACATTTCGCTACAAAGTTTCCCTTAGGTCGTAATAATTAAAAATTAGACCTCGAGGTCGAGTGNCTACTGGGGTCACAGCCACAGGTCCTATACCCATCGCTGCTCTCAAACTCTCCACTTCTGACACAGCACCTGGRCCTACTTGAGARGTAATRCTCTTCAATGTATCCGTCAGCCGATTAGCTATGGACTGCTCTTTGTCGGAAGGCTTTGTTGATGTTTCGGGTGTTGACGACAGTGGATCGCCAGGACGCGAAGATAGCCGAGAATTCTGWGCCTCTTGAAGGTCTTCAAGCAAACGACTGGTCGAGTTGAGTTGATCCAATAAAGTACAACTAATAGGAAGTAGATAAAAGAAATAAAGATTTCAATAGACAATGCGCAACAACGGCATTTTTATGGGACTTCAAGTTCATTTCTACTTCACAGTAAAAAGTGCGAAGAATTCAACTCCCATCCAATGCTTTACATGCTTTGTTGAGCAAAATGGCGTCCTGAAAGCGTTTGTATTTACAATAAACTAAAATTTGGAGATTATTTGAACCGACTTAGAATATTTCCATCAAGTTTTTCTTTAAAAAAATGGAGCCGCTGCACAGTTCAAAAATGAACTCGATACAGTGAAGCGAAAGACAAGGGTTCTCACCTAGGTTGTTCCTGCTGGGAAGAAACTTTACCATCTGGAAAAGAAAAGTGATTAAAGATCAATATACATCGACGGTAAATGTACGCAGTTATGAGCTCCAAAACCGCACGGGGATTACGCTTTTTAACGATCACAATATCAAGTTCTACTGAAAACTACGGCCAAAACAATATCTAGATACGGGACCCGTTTCTGACAACAATCATTTTTCCGCTATTTTATCAGGAAAATTTGTGATGTTGCCGTCTTGAAATGGCAATTCCAATAAACAGGAAAGAAAGAAAAACGACAATAATTAAACTAAAGAAAAAAAAACACAAACAAAACAACAAAACGAGTGAACTAAGTATACGAGAAGAGTCTAAGCAAGAGAGCCCTGTTGACCGATTCCTCGGTGGTTTAGTAATGCATTTCATTATGTTATTCTCACTTCACTTAAACGCCATTTTGAAAGGTAAGCTTGCCTTGTCTCGAAACGAGATAACAGGTAAGAAATGATAGACTAATCTCTCATTGCAAGCTCTCCGGCCATGTTTACTTCGATGCAAAGGCAGGACTACTTTTCAAAGTGTCGGCGGGAACCACAAAGAAGACTATTGACGTCAATAGTTTATTCATCAAACATGACGGAGATTGCTTTCTTCATAATTTTTTTAGGGGATTTCTGGTCACGTGGTAGCAAAGCAAGAATACAAATAACGCTATTCTTCTCTTGCAATATACGTCACAGCGGCCATCTTGGTTGGATTTCTCATTAGTATCTATTGTCCAAGCCAACATGGCCGCTGGTCTTTTGCCTTTTGAATGTCATGAGAATGATTGAAAACGAGCARTACGTACCAGCAATATCCTTCAAGAACGCAACATCGATACCRACTTCAGAGAGAGACATTAATGACTTGTAGTCAATTGGGACATCAGCTGAAGACTTTGTAGCATTCTAGTTGACAAACAGAACAGAATTATTACTATTAAAATAAATAATACAAATGAATACAGAGTGTGCTGACAAAATATGGATATTCGATGAGGGTTGTCCAACACTCCGACATGTCACGGGTTGACAAATGTATTTGACGGGTTGACCATGTCGGACATACTTGTATTTGATCGTCTTGCCTAACCATGATAAAAGATCACATTGTTGTTCAGTTTTTAGCACGTGATCACAGCCTTGCCAATTTTGTTTGAAAGTGATCAATCTTTCCCAAAAATATACGTTTATGACGAATTATAACACAGTCATTTTCTAAAATGTGATTTTCTATGTACCGTTTTATCCTTTGTTTCTTTCGGAGGAACTGCAGACTTCGTTTGCTGATGTTGCGGTGTTCCTGTGTCCTATTGATATCAAAAGCGTTATTGAAATAAAGTACAATTAAAAAACTCTTGAGGTTTTGAGAAAACTACTACTGAATGCTAATTTATGCAAATAAGTTTTTATCGGGCATTTTTGCAAGTCTTCTCGTATATAAGCCGCACCCCCGATTTGGGAACGATTTTTTTGGAAAAAAAAGTGCGGCTTATACATGGGTAAATACGGTATATGATAATTTGCGCAGTCAAGTCTATTATTGAGAAGAGAAGGTCGAGGCCGTGTATGGGTTATCTTCGACCCGGGGCCCGGGATCTTTGAATACTACTAGTACATCTATTACAAGCGTATACGGCGTCAAAGCAAAACAAAATAGTCGTCTGAAATTACAGCGTATAGTTCCATCAGTACCTTATCTGTAGAATCAGTGGACTTCTTATCATCTGGTTTCACTTCCTCTACCACTTTTTCTTTCTAAAAGGAGAAATGCTTTCACAAATCAACAAAACTAAACGAGAAAAAATCTTGTTGAATGTAGAACGTGCGATCGTAATGGTTCATGGGTAACCACTTGTCACTCACAAATTCTTCATGATTTCGAATCAGATAAACTCTATYAAAGTTGGTTATGCGATAAAAAAGCATTAAAGCATTTACAGTACCTCACGCATTTTACTGGTGTAAACCGAGTGTGCGCCGTCAGTCAAAATGTCCAGCAGTTTATCCACGACACCGTTAGCAAAGGAAGACGTATCTCGGACAAATTCTTGAATACTGAATACAATAAGCAATGTTTAGTATAAAATACAAGGAATGAATGGCAATAATGTATATAACATACAGACTTGTTACAAAAGTTCAAAACCTGGGCCTACGACAATGAGAAAGTATGAACTAGAAGGTGAATCCACTCACCACTCACCGGGTGATTATGTTTATCTCGCAGTTTATATAAAAGAAGTCCGTGGTTAATTGCGTGTCGCGACTTTCTTGCTCGAATAGTAAAAATAACGCCGTATTGAGACATGTATCCCCATGACATTTGAATAAAAATKATATGCATATTMGAGAATATATATTTTTAAGACGTGAAACCCAAGAATTCTCACCTTTGTGCATAGTGCACCCCTGCATCGTTGCCATAGGTACTAAGCAGCAAATCAGATTCCTCTTTAGTGATAGTGGCACGTGACGAGTCATAGGTTGGCGCGAACGAGCCAAACGATCCATACATTARATACGAAACTGTGGACAAAGCCAGAAATGTTATAAAAAACAAAGTTAGGCTCGACAAACCAAATGGACAATTTGTGTTGATCTAAATACATTTGGTATCACGTTGATTTGTACGTCGATCCATGGACGCAGTAAAAAACATAAGAAAAGGTAATGAATGCAATTGAATAAACTATTATTGTCCCAAAAGTATATATCTTTTGGCACGACGCAGATAGCTCGAGCTTATTCCGTA